TAAAACATCGACTTGGGAGAGCCGGAAGGCCCCACTACCCAGCGCAGCAGCAAAGCATCGCCCGCGTCGCTGGAAAGCGGCCGCTTTCCTATGAGCTATAAAGTTTATTGATGCCATTTCTTAGGCGTTGGATTGATTTCATTCGCCGCAAAGCCATTTTGATTGCATTTTGTTACGCCTTTGATTCAGATACTTTTGGTTCACTCACACTCTAACGTGGATGCGAACTAACAACTTCACAGATCGCGCTCAAGTTCGGGAGTGAAATCAGCCGCTTACAATAACGACAAACCAGTTAAGACATTCACTATTTTGTCGTCACCTTCTGTTACATAATTTCCACCGCAGTATAGCTAGTAACAACTTTGATAAATTCACCCTTGGCAGTAGCCACCGCTGGACTAGACGTCACTTAAACTTGGTGTCTAGTCCAGCGGTGGCTATTGCCATGTGCCAAAAATGGACCAAACACCACTGGAGATAGCACCATTGGATTAAATGCCACCGGACGAAACACCACTGGAGTTTAACACCACTGAACGCATATAGCGAGATCGCAAGGTACATCGAGAGTCAACTGAAAAAGTTCCCGGTGTGTGCAGTCCGTCCGCTTGGTCGCATCCAACGGCCGTCCACATGTCATCCAGTGGGGCAGCGCTAAACGCGCGGGCTTTGGGCATTGTCAGCGTTCGGCCCATGGGCTCATCAGGCCACGACCGCGTCGACTGCCGGTCGGCTGCAGCGCCGGCGTCTCACCAGACCTGCGCTCCTCCCGCCAGTTACGAGGACGAGCGGCGCGAATCGACGCTCACCACCCGGCTCGTCTCACTGGTGGTCATCTTCGCCGAGGGTCATCATCTACCACGGCCGTCTGAGCGAGCTGACGGCGCGGGTCGACTTCCTCTGGAAGCGGCAGGTGAGCGTAGCCATCGGCGGGGGCCCGCCGCCGCCCGCTCGCCGCTGCGCAGCCAGCGGCGGGGGCCCGCCGCTCCGCAGCCAGCAGTGGAGACCCGCCGCCGCGCAGCCAGCAGCGGGGGCCCGCCGCCGTCCGCCCGTCGCAGCGCCGTCGGCCAGGCCGGAGACGGACCCGCGCGTTGGACGTGAGGCAGCTCCGGTCCAGGGTCGCAGCCGTGTTTGCTGTGCACTCCGCCGGCCGGGCAGAGTGCACTGTAGCCGCTTAGGTAATGGAGCTCGCACCTAGTTCAGCGCAGACGGGGGTCTTGTGTGGAGTGGGCGAACGCTGCCAACGCTGCCACGAGGACAGCTACACCTCACGTTCAGAGAAAAACAGTACAGACAGAATTCAGAGATGTGAGGAAAACGGTGATCTGAGTGATCAGCCTAGCCGAGCCGTGTCCATTTCAACGAGACATTTTACATACGAGTGCTAGTTTGCACAGGCTTGCAATGCAATCATAGGCTAAGACAGACATCTCACCATCAAGGAACACGACATCAACAAGGATGGGCAAATGAACGTGTGACAGGAATCCGTACAAGATTGAAATTAGAGCAAATTTTTGCAAGAATGGGGGTAAGACGTAATGACAAGATTGCTTTGAAGCTGGAAGGACGCATTATATTATGTTTGTAATAGCCATCAGCCAGGACGTCATCACGGTGGGTGTGCCGTACACGGGCAGGCCGGGGCTGCACCACTGTGCGCGGCATCTCCAGACCCGTGGCTCTGATAACCCGGCGGATGCTGCTGATCAGCTGTTGATCCGACGTGACCACCCAACCCCAGCGGTACTCCTGAAGTATTCTCGACCTTCCTGGCGTACGATGTGGCCAGCTACTGGAGGAGAACAAGTTTCTTCCTCCCGCGGTATGTCGGCGCCAAGTTTGGCTACAGCACATGATCAGTGTCAGGTTATTTGCATACGAACGACATCAGTTTCGCCTTCATGCACACCTCGTCATCTCCTTCGGGAACCCTCCTTAGGGCGTGCACCTTACATAGTTTGACGTGTCGCCACCACGGCCAACCTGCAATGCGCATTGCTGCACATATTACTCCTGTATGTTGAAGTATTCTTCGCCGTCCAGTGTTTTCGTTTCTGACGGTTACCCAAGAACTAGCAACCAGGAGTGTCACTTTCACTATCACAGCGACGCAGTAAACCTTACATGAACACCAAACAACAGTTTTAGATGTTTACGGGTTTATAAACGAGCAAGTCGCGGTGCTGCCTGCTAAGAGATAGACACCGAAAACGTACAGGAAGCAGAGCATAGTCTCTTTTTCTCTGTCTCTGTCTGCCTCTGCTTCAGTTTCTGTTTCTGTCTCTGTCTCTGTCTCTGTTCCTATCTCTGCCTCTGTCCCTATCTTTGTCTCAGTTTCTACCTCTGTCTCTGTCTCTGTCCCTGTCTCTGTATCTGCCTTTGTCTCTGTCTCAGCCTCTGTTTCTGTCTCTGTCACTGTCTCTGCCCCTGTCTCTGTCTCTGTCTCTGCCTCTGCCTCTGCCTCTGTCTCTCTCTGTCTCTGTCTCTGCCTCTGTCTCTGTCTCTGTCTCTGTCTCTGTCTCTGTCTCTGTCTCTGTCTCTGTCTCTGTCTCTGTCTCTGTCTCTGGACCAGCCGGAGGCTCGAGTAACCAATGTGTCTTTGGGAATGGCAGCTTGACGGCAATCCTCAAGGGCATAGCTAGAACTCTCAGGGAGACACTCCACATGCAAGTCAAAGCTTTGCGATCGCTACAACGGTACGCTTCCTTGACGAGAGGAGGATATGGCGCGAATGTCTATTGGGTATATTTGTTTTTTATACGGTTTGGCATTCTATTTCCTCTTGGCC